TGTAGACATTCCCTGAGTGACTTGCCTGTGATCACCTAGCATGTTAGGGCAGAGCTGGGACTAGTGCCTAGGTTTCTCTGTCCTGGTCCAACACTGCATGGTGGTGGCGGGGGGGTGCTGCCACCAGAAACCCCGCCTTCCCTTTCTCCTTCCCACTCCCCTCCCTCCCTGCCGGGGGCATCTCAGCTGCTCCTTCACTCCCTCACCCCCTCTGTCCATAATGCTCCAGGCCCTCGCAGCTAATCAGCATGCATCCTCTTGGTGGCGCGTGCACAATTGCCCCGGAGTGTTATGGATAGATAGACAGACTAAGGCTTTTATTATACTAGAATTTCTTCAGTAACCGTTAGTGTTGTGAGCCTCAGTTTACCCATAACACTGGTACATGGGAAAGAATGGGTTAAAGTGAAGCTGGAGTTGCTGGCCTGTCCTACTAAAGGCACATCCTTTCCTCTATAGCAGGGGTAGGCAATGTTTTTTGGCTGGAATGCCAAAAAACCCACAATGTCTACCTTGGAAGGTGCCGGAGTGCTGGCATGCCAGAAAAACAAAAGTTGGGGGGGGGACTACATGGCAGGACACACTGCATATTACTATATTTAATAATCATAAATATTGCCTTTGTTGTTGTGTATTCCTTTTTTGTTGAGCATGTTGCAATGAGAGAGAGAGAAAAAAGAGACAAATAAGAGAAAGAGGAGAGAGAGAAAGAAAAAGGAGAGCAGAGAGAGAACTAGACACGCACACAGAGAACCATTGTGCACAAACACAGAGAACCAGAACACACCCAGAACAGACACATGCACACACACATCTGGAACCAGACATGTGCGCGCACACAGACACGCAAAACCAGACAGAGGCAGACAAACACACAGAACCAGATGTGTGGGCACACGGAGCTGGGCTCCTGGGCCACTGGACAAAGTCCAACCCAACAATGCCCTGGTCCCCCCAGAGCCCCTGTGCTTCCCTGGGGAGCCAGCCCCTGGGCTGCAGTGGAGCTGGCCAAGGCCCTGGCCCAGAACCTGCCCATCAGTCCAACCAACCACCCCACACAGCTAAGCCCGCAAAAGGTGCGGTGCTCCTGGCAAGGGACAGTGCCAGCCTCATCCTGGTGGGGAACTGGGCCAGGGCTGGGCTCGGAGCGGATGGGAGTCAGGTGGGCTCAGTTGCAAGCCCTGCTGGGCTCTCTGGTTGACAGCAGCTACCAGAGCCTGGGCTGGCTACAGCCAGGAGGCTGCAAACAGCTGCTCCGGGCTCCGGCATCAGCTCCATAACAGCAGATGCATGCATGCCTCGGAGTAGATGGTGGGGATAGGGCCTGAGGCAGCACAACTCTCCCGCTGTCTGCTCTGAGATGCATGTGCAGTCACTGCCAGCATGGAGCTGATGGCAGGGCTATGGAACCCAGCGCAGCTGTTTGAAGCCTGCCCGCTGCCTGCTGCAGCTGCCCAGAGCTGAGGCTGTCTACAAGCAGCTGCACTGGGCTCCGGAGCCTAATCATCAGCTCTGTGCTGGCAGTGGGGAGGAGGCCGGGGTTGCACTGCCTCAGGCCACTCCCCCACCATGCACTCTGAGACGCGTGTGCACCCACCGGGTGTGGAGCTAATGCTGGAGCCCAGAGCAGATGTTTGCAGCCTCCTGGCGGCACCTGGCCTAGGCTCTAGAGCCCAGGCTGTTAATGGCGTGCCGTGCTTGGCACACATGCTGGGGGTTGCTGACCCCTGATCTATAGAGACCGAATAGCTTTGTTGACCCATCAAGAAAGGCAGGGATTGTAGGTAAGGAGGTGTACAGGGAAGGGAGAAAAGTCAGCATGATGGTAGGTGAGCACCTGGAAAAGGGTGTTAGCTCTTCATTAGGAGACGGAAAAAGGAAGAAATTAGCTTCTGGCTAATTTGGAGAAGACCAGCTGGTCAACTTTGTGGGGCATAGGGCTTGGAGGTGCCTCCTGGCTTCTCTTCCCAGCGGCTTAGGACTGGAAAGAAAACAGCAGAGCAATTTCTGAGGTGGGCTGGACTGGGAACAGAGGAATTGCTTATCCCTTTGAAGGAAGCAGGGAACTTCTGACTCAGTGAGCATTGCTCCAGTAAATGCATTTATTAAAGTGGAGCTGTTGGCTTTGCTACTTGGAACTTGGGGTTGCACTGGGTCTCCCCAGGAGGAAAGGTCCAGCCAAACTGGATACTCATTCCTTGAGTCAGGGACATGGAAAAAAACAGGGAGGCTGAGGGACTGAAAGGTCTGGGTCTCAAAGCGGCAAGGAGTCAGAGCTCTCCTCACCCCCACTCCCCTTTTTCCTCTAGATAGAAGCTAACACCTGGGCTGGATTCAGTGGGGCACTCCCAAAAACCAGACAAGGCTATGGTGGGCCCAAGCAAGCACTCCCCCGAGGAGTCGGTAGACTTCATAATGACCCCTGGCTCTGTTAATTTTACCTGTGGACTTCCACAAGGAGGGGCTCTGTGTGTCTACCCTATCCTAGAGTGTTGCCCACCCACATGTTCTCTCTACCAGTTCAGGGAGCCTTCCACAGGATGAGGAAGGGAAAGGAGAATAAGGGCTGCGCTGGCAGCTGCATCGTGGCCTTCCTGCATGGGGAGGAGGAGGAGCTGATTCACAACTAGTAGTCTAACAGGGAAGGAACATTTCACAGGTGAGCTTCTGATCCTGCAAATCCTTAACTCTGGATTTGTGAACTGTTCCAGAACCAAGAAATTCCCCTAGCTTTAAGTCAAGCATGTACATATGTGTTTGCAAAAGCAGAACATTATTATTGTTATGTTTGATTTAGTGTGACCAACAGCTCTGCTAAAAACCCAGATTAGGTTCTAACATAGCTGCAGATTCTTTGTGGGTGTGAAAGAAACAGGGCACCTATACTGAAATTAGCCAGTGATTGATTGACTTGTAAACATCAAAAGTCAGCTGTTAAAACCTTTTAAAATTGTGCCTGCTTAATAGGCAGAAAGGGGGTAGGGGTGTGTATACATATCCGTGTATACACACACACAATTTTAGACCAAGTTTGTTTCCTACTTCTAATTACTTGAAAAACAGACATTTCCTTGTCATATGCATTTTAGTCTTGATCACTTTTTTGGAAAAAAGTGATCAAGACTTTTTGGAAAAAAGTGATCAAGATTAAAGTGCATATGATAAGGAAATAAAACTTTTGGCAAACAGGAAGAGCAAAGTCACTTAGCTTGCTTTTCCAGTTTTATATACTTTCAGAATTGCAAGTGTGAAGTTAAATACACAGACCTTTGGGCGCCATACACATGTGCACATACTGTCCTTTCTGTTCTTCAGCTAGTGGTCTGGAAAGTCTCACTCTCTCAAGAGTAAAGTTGTCATGTGAAAGGACGTTGGTACAAATTGAGCTCTAATTGAATTTTCAGTTGTGCTGTTTATATGGCTGCGTATGGTAAGTGCTTTCCTCCAATTCAGTGTGTGCACTTCTCAAAAGGAGGGGCTACCATGTCCAGCAATTTGAGTTTGGGCTTTAAATCAGTGGTTTTCCATTTTTTCAGATTCAAGGCATCCCTCAGAAAATACCAGCTCTTAATTTTCACTCATTCTGAGTACTCTGCCCCGGAAAAAATTCTGCACTCGAGAGAGAGCACAGCAGGGCACAATGTTTCTGACATTGAATTCCTATTTGAAATCTTTGCATTTAGGTTGTGACTCATTTGCACACCTGACAGTATTAAGATTGTATCACCCTTGAAAGGATCTTGAGGTTCCTGGTTGAGAATCACAATTCATCTAAATAGATGAAGAATTCTTTCCTCATCTTTTTCATTATGTGCTTTTCTAAAGTGCATGATGTATTCTCAAACAACCCTGCTTTATGTTTTATGACACATTTTGTGGGGTGTCCTCTTTCTGAACATGTGTCTCTGATAAATAGCTATGATTCAACTATATGTTATGGCAGAATATTTTTCCTGTGTTCTATTCTGGACTTGTACAAACACTGAAAATCCACCTGCTTTTCAGTTTTTGCCTAAGTTGCGGAGTTTGGCTCCTGAGAAATGAATTTGGTGGAAAATGAAAATTAAACATGACTTGTCCTGGGGTTTTTAAGCAACTCTCTGAATTAGGTGTAGGAAACCTGAATATAGCTAATGTTTAGTGTTCCTTTCCTACTGAATCCCTATCTTAGAATTGAAGCCAAAGTTGGTTTTGAAAACTGGCACATGCTCAGTTTCATTGTGCTGTATAACATGAAGGGAAATTTACATACTTAAGTGGTGACTCAAAGATGCCCAACTGAAAGCAAGTCAAGCTACATGACCTAGAACAGGGGTAGGCAATGTTTTTGGCCGGGGTGCCAAAAAACCTGCAATACCTACCTTGTAAGGTGCTGGAGTGCCAGCATGCCAGAAAAACAAAACCCAGGGGAGGGTACATGGCAGGACACACTGCATATGAATATAGTTAATCATCATAGACATTGCTTTTTTCAGTAAATACCAGGTTTTCTAAAATTTCTAAACCTGAGGTTAATAAACGCAACTTCATGTACTGCCTCAGTTCTTGTGTAGTCTTTTCATAAGTATGTTGTGAGGAAAGCGAGACAAAAAAGAGAAAAAGGGGAGAGAAAAAAGATAACAGAGCAAAATGAACTGATTAATGTGCAGAGAGCCAAAGCTGAATATGAATGAGGCTAACAGAGCAAAACCAAAGTGAATAGCAAAAACGAAGACTGAAATAATGGAACAAGGCAAAATAAACGGATTAACATGCGATCTCGAACGGTGCAGCAACGAGCAGCTACAGGCCCCCCGAACCACGTGCTTCCCTCGTACAAGCACGGGGGAGGAGGGCGCCTGCACCCCTTCCTCCCCCGCGTCCTGCCGCGGCGGCACCCTCGCCGCCCCCGCATCGTCCTGCCCACGCAGCTCCGGGCGGGCGGGCCGCACTGGGGCGGCTGCGGGGCCGGGCTGGTGGAGCCGGGCAGAGGTCGGCGTCCGGCGGCAGCAGGTCAGTGCTGGCGTCCGCGCCTCGGGGGTCGGGGCTGCGCTCCCAGCCTGCGCGGCCCGAGCGGGATTGCGGGGGGGGGTTGCCGGCCCTGATCTAGATTAATACTGAAGGGATGGGGCGAGAGAGAGAGAAGAATGCATCCCGGCAGCACGGTGCAGTCTGACTCCGAAGTATCTGTGTTGTTTAAAATCCGAAGCTGTCAGTGACAATGACCATCTTCATCAGCTTTACCGTATGTCCCTATTAATCTGTGCTGCAGCTTCATTTATTTGCTACAAATCACCCATCAGCACATTTGAACGTCATGGTTCTTGCTGTTATTTATATAGTTAAGAAGAATAAGCTGATGTTTTGCCTCACTAGGACTTGTGCTGAAGGGCAGCTAGGAAGGTTACTTCCCTTGCCATTTGCAGCCGAAAGCAAGTCGACTTCGGGAGAGCGCTTTGCACAATGGTTTGTACCAAATGACTGACTGCTTATAACGTTTCTATGGATCATAGGTTTTTGCAAGCACCAAGCTTTTGTCCAGCAGCCTTTAAAATAAGTTTGTGCTTCTCCCTGAACTGAATTTTTCAAACCACAGATAACCCCCCACCCGCCGCCAAACAAACGGAATGTACAAAGCTGTAACAGGAGACATTACCAGAACACTGTAGCAACCAGCCAAAATGACAGTCTCTCCCATGTAAATCCATTGCTTTTGTTTAAAAGATTAAATTTTGTCAGAACCAGGCATCACACCCCTTATGTATCAGAAACTAGATCAAATGGAGAATTCCTGGAACTCCTCCTTAAGATGGTGTCATTCTAGTCTAATATATTTTACTTCCTCAGAGAGAGTGCTAGTTTTTTCTAAACTGCCTGAAGAAGTGCGTTTATAATATGGTCACCTTACTTTGTTTATTACAGAAGTTTTACTGAACAATAATGTTGTTAGTACTAAAATTCATTTTATTACAGCCACTAGACAGTCTGGTTACTAGCAAGGAGAAATGCATCATGCAGTTCTTTTTTTAGTCTATCCGCAGGATTAGATATTTGATCCCAAGTTGAGGCTGGTCTAACATAAGGTTATTTCTTAGTGAATCATGCAGATGGTTCTTTATGGTTGCCTCCAGGTAATTCAGTGCACGATGGCTGACCTCAGAGTAGGGAAATGTTTCCTGGATGATGTCACTTAAATTCCCTTTTCTATATTTCTTGTTCCATGCCCAGTTTTCGTATTGTTTTTGAAGACATTCCAGCCACCCAGTGCCAATCTTTTATTCACAACAAAGGTCTGCGGAACTGAGTTATGTCAACAGTTGCTTTGATTACTGTGGTGAGAAATGGAGGTTGTCAAGTGAGGAGAGTGCTGCTGATGCCCCGCCTTTTGCAAGACAGCAAGTATGTGACTGCTGTGCGCCACAGTTCTACGACGCAACGCAGGACTTCCTGCTTTGACCCTGATGGCAGTGGGCGGCCCACCACGTGGGACTCCTTTGGCATCTGGGACAACCGGATTGATGAGCCCATCCTTCTCCCACCAAGCATAAAATATGGGAAGCCCATTCCCAAGGTCAGCCTGGCCAATGTGGGCTGTGCCACTCAGATTGGCAAGCGGAAGGTGAACGAGGACCGCTTCAATTATGCTGAGCTGACTGACAGCGTCCTGTATTTTGCGGTGTATGATGGGCATGGCGGGGCAGCTGCAGCTGATTTCTGTGATAAGTACATGAAGAAGTATATTGAGTACGTATGTAGGGTTCTGAGGTTTGGCTTTACTATTGGTTGTATTAGTTGCACCTAGTCTATAGAGCTGGAAAGGACCTCCTTAATTACAAAGTCTAGATAGGGTTGCCCATGATAACCCTATCCTGTAGGATTATAGGAATCCTAGGAGGGCTCCCATTGTGTTAGGGACTGTACAAATACATAGTAAAGCACAGTTCCTGCCGTGGAAAGCTTCCAGGTAAAAACAGACAAAAGAAAGGAACATTTGCAAGAGGTAAGGAAGATAAATAATATGATCATCCCTGCTTCTAGAGACTAGGACCTAAGCCCATGCTTGGCAATGAGAACTGCAAGTTGTCACACAAGGGTAGTTTTGATTATTGACATGGGAATCCTGCTGGATCTTCTCTGTAAAGAGCCTTGCTGCTGCTTGCACATCTTGCTTTTGAGAGCTGGGAAGGATGCTGTGGTACCAGAGTAGTTGCAGAGGTTAGACATGGCCAGGAAAAGCAGTTCCTTTACCCTTGAAAAAGAAAGGTCCTTTAGGCACTCTTAGTACAGGAAACCCTCACTATTTGCAGGTTTGACATTTGCAGTTTCAGATATTCGCAAATGCTGAATCCGCATTTTAAATACACTTTATACATTTACAGGAGCTCCTCAGGAGCTCCATGCTTACTGCTGCCAGGCTCCTGCTGCTGCTGCTGCCGGAGCCATGCCCCCCCCACCCCAGCTGCCAGGGGTGCTGTGTTCATGAACGCAGTGCCTTATTCATGGATTTCACCATTTGCGGGTGATATGAGAACATATCCCCTGTGAATGGCAAGGGTCGCCTGTATTATTGGGGTAGATGGCATCCTTTTCTCTCCCTTCTTCTTTACCTGGGGGAGCCTCTCTCCCTGTGCAGAGATCCAGCATGAGACTAAAGAAGGTCTCATGCCAATTCCCTGTAGAAGAGGGAATCTCACAGAGCAGACCCTATCCAAAACCGTTGAATTAACGGGGGCATTTTAGGTGCTCGCCACCATCCAGGAGTGGGGCTCCAAAGAGCACATAAGTTGCACACACGATCTGTAAAGACCAGGTCAGTGGTTAGGCCACTGGAGCCAAGGGTATAGCCCAAACCACAGGCTGAGTCAGGGTTCAGGAGTTGAAGATTGAATTACTAAAGTCGTGTAGAGTTCCCAAAGGCCAGAGTCCAGGGACAGAGCCAAGCAGGGTGAGAAGCTAAGAAACTAGAGAGCACAGGTTCCAGGGGACTTGCCACCTTCATGTACAACTGTTGTCTGGCCTGCAGTCTGCTTCTACAGGCAGATTTAAATGGAGAGGCTGATCCCCCCAACAGCTACTCAGGAGGTCCTAACAGTGGCCAGCTGGATCATGAACTGTGGTAGTGCTGCTAGTTGGAGCCCTGGGCAGATGCAGCCAACTAGGCAATAAGCCCAAGTGCAGTTACCTGTTGGGGCACCTGACAGAGTGCTCAGAATTAAGGGCACTTGATACTGTACATGTTCCAGAAGAGGCTCATCGTTTACTCTAGGTGGCTTAAATTAAGGCTGTCCACGTTCTGAGTGGTGCAGAGTGTTCTGACAGGTAAGAATTGCCATGGCTGAGTGTTAACTTCCATTCAGGTTGAAGGGCAATAGTTCGTTAATGGTTTTATACCAATCTGTCACAATAATATAATGTGAGTCAGCATCTGAGAAGACAATTCTGTGGAAGATAGTGATTTAGACAATGCTGTGCTTGAGGAAAGAGTTGAAATTGCCTTTATTTTGTTTCCAGAGAATTTCTTCCTCAGGAGGAGAACTTGGAGATTGTGTTGACCAAAGCTTTTCTAGAAATAGACAAAGCATTTGCAAGACACGCTCACTTATCTGTCGATGGTAGGTAAAGCAACTGTTTTTCTTTGCCGGCGTGTGGAAATGGCTTTCTATGTAACTGCTAAATTGTTTTTGTTTTAAGACTTTTTGAAATGTGCTTGATGCTAGGAAGCAATGTTATGTAATCAAAGTTTTTCTTGGAGTATTTCGTGCAAACAAGACAAGCAACTTCAATCATGCTTGAACACATTACTAGGAAATGGTATGAAAAAAACCTAAAGCTTGGGAATGGATACAAAGCTGAATTCTTGCAAAATATTCACTGATGTTACCTTAGAGGGCTACCTAATACAAACAATAGAACATTTACCAAATTTAATATAGCTCCAGAGAGTTGAAATTCAACAAGGATAAAAACTATCTTAATGCTAGGTGAGAGAGAATGCTAGTACTTACTGTGGCTTTTAGAAAAAAATAACATCTAAGCTTCCCTTCTTGGCACTGCTGTGGCAGTTGAGTAAAAAAAAATGATGCTTAGATTAGTAAGATAAGGAATTAAATGTAGCTTTGTCTGCCAGTGAGAGAGAGAGTCAAAGTGAAAACACATGGTCTGTCCCAGATTTTTAGTTGTGGTAAAATTGGCTGTAAGCCTGTTTTGCACTTCCCCCATCCTGGGCTGGCTGTGTCAGGTTATTCCAGTATATGCTTATGCTGATTGCTGATGGCCTGCAAGGTTGTTTTTAAGTAGCTGGGGCTTGCAATAATACAGGGAAACTGGTCATAAACTGTGGATGTGGTAGGAGCCATAGAGCTGGCCCTCCCCCACCATAGTGCTCTGTAAGAGTGTGTTGCTAATCAGACTGCTAGACCAGGTTGCACTCCTGGTGTGCAGTACCTCCAGCACAACTGTGGATTGGGACAGTGGTTTGAAAAGCTTTGCAAGTAAAGATAAACAGAGCATTTAGTGGGAGATATTATGCTTCTAAACACACAGTAAAAATAGGCAATCTGATTTGAATGGAAAGGGTTTCTTATGTTAAGTAAAAATGCCAAAACATGCATTTTGCTTTAGACTCCAAATATTTCCCTCTAGAGTGTTAATAACCCACAGTAGCACTGAGGTTTTTTTTTAACCTGGCTTTTAAAACAAGCTAAGCTGCATAGAATTGGATCTGACATTTTAGCAACTTCTCTTTGGTTTTAACAAATTCATGTTGAGGACTGAGATGAAGACCCCAGTCTCCCATTTGAATCTTCTATTCATTGTTTTACCATTTATTGTGCTGGACTGAAACACAGCAGCACTTGGAAGTCTATCTGATATTCATCTAATTAGTCCTATATGACTTGAATGGTTCACCCTGAAAGCTCCAGCTCAAGAAAATATTTCAATCATATTAAGAAGGTGTATAAGTGCTTTTCTGAACTGAAGCTGAAAAGCACGTTTCATTTATAACCACATACAGCTTTATGGTATTTGCAAGACTCTTCCTAAAAAGGAGCTGACTGTCCCATTTAAATGGAATTTCTTTGTGTTTCGGAGCATCTCTGTGAAGAGAGGCACATCATAACAAGGAAAATATTGTTGCTTAAAACACTGTTTTGATACATTGAAAGTGGCTGTTGATTTACAGCCACAAAGGATTCTAACATCTCAAATCTATTTTATTGGGAGATGCATGGTTAAGTCACTCTTCCCCTTTTTGAATAGTTCCCTAAAACTGGTTAGAAATCTGAGAGGTGCCAGTAAAATTTTCAGAACAGCTAAACAAGTTACAGGATGTTGGATAAAGTGTTCTCACTAGTCCAGCTCAAGGAGATATGAAAATTAAACTGACAATTCAGTTTTCATCAGTAATACCACACTTAGCGCCCTGTAAAAAAATATTATGAGGAAAGAGCATCAAGAGATGCTTCATTCTGTAAGGTACAGAGTGCTTCTCTAGAGAGGTAGAGTGTCCTCTTGTAGGAATTAGTAGGTGCTGAAAGTGTTCGGCACACTTTTGTATATTGACTAGTCTCTGAAATCATGCCATAAAGGCATGAAATGGGACATACAGACACAAACAAGTAGTGGTTTATCAGCATAATTCATTTAGCATGTACAGTGTTGAAATTTGAAATTTTTGAGACTTGTTTCTTTTAAGAAGTTGAATAAAATTGAACTGCTTTTTTGCATGTATCCTTACAAAAGCCTACTTCTGTACTGTTACAATTTTTTAGCAGAGCTGTTTGTAATTTTTGGCTATTCTAGATGTGATGGAGTCAAAAGTGAAAGTTTTATTGAAACCAGTGGTCCTGGAACACTGAATGTTTCTGATAACGTAAGGAGACCCAGGTGGTGTCTTCCTAATTAAATTCTGCCTCATCCTGGGAATTGGAAAGCAATACTCCAATTAATTGATCAATGACCATCTCTGCTGATTCTTTGAGGTCTTGGTTTATACTTAACTACAGTGGATATTAAGGATTACTTGGGTCTTAATGCTAATACCTGCAAACAAGGCAATGCGATTAAGTTTCTGCATAAATGTAAGCAGAAACAAGACCTCACTGAGTGAGCTAAAGCTGTAGATAATTTGGGGAAGACAGTTTGGGAATGTTGCTATGTAAGTGGCCATTAACAGAGCTTAAAATGTGGGTTTTGTTGTAGGAACTGTGGCCTTTATTTGAAAGCTAAACGCTTTTTTGTTTGTTTTTACAACCCCTCCCTCAAAATAAAATTACCCTTTACATAGCTCAAATATTTTAAAAACACATGAACTAGTGGTTACTTCAAGCTCCAAATATAAAATTTCATAGATGTAGGGTCGGAAGGGACCTTGCAGATCTTCTAGTCCGACCCCCCTGCCGTGGGCAGGAGAGAGAACTGGGCTCAAATGACCCCAGCCAGGTAAATATCGAGTCTCCTCTTAAAGACCCCCAGGGTAGGAGCCATCACCACTTCCCTTGGAAGTTGGTTCCAGATCCTAGCTGCCCTGACTGTGAAGTAGTGCCTTCTAATGTCTATTCTAAACCTACTCTAGCAACTTACAGCTGTTATTCCTTGTTACTCCGGGGGGCACTCGGGGAAACAAGGTCTCTCCCAAACCCCGCTGGTCTCCCTTAGTAAGTTTATAGAATATCCTATATCTGTTTTCCATCTTCTACATGTTCCATAACTTTGTTTAGAGATTAGCTTAATGCCTTAATGTGAGGTTTACCATCTCTGAAAAAATATGAATGTACAAAATGTTATAGCCCTGGACATACATTGCTGTCCACTTAGGCCAGGGACAGACCTTCAAAAAGCCTGAGCCTAAATTGATTCAATCTTTGCAGGTTAGTCTAACCTGCCTAGGTTGAATGAATTTGTAATTACACAGACATATGAGCAACTTCCACAGCACAGTTGCTCAGGCCAGGAGTTGGGGGGCGTTAGAGCATGCCCCCAGATGCAAGGAAACTGTGCTGTGGAAGGGTGTGGCCAGCCCGGGCAGTAGCCTTGGCTTAATTCCCCCCTCCTTGTCCCATCGGCAGGGACCTGAGCTGGGTTTGCCAGGCGCTCCCCACTTGCTGCTGCAGTGGTGGAATCAGGCGCGGTTAGACATCGGCCAGCATGACCCCTGAGGCAGAGGGGGATTATTCCCCTCTCTATCCCCCCTGGCCCGGGGGGACCGCAGTCGGGTCTGCCCACCCTGCCCACCACTGCCCACTCCCTGCTTGAGGCAAGCGGTGGACTAAGCCCTCTTCTGCCCCCTCTGCTGAACGCCAGAAGGAGGGGGAATAATCCCCCTCCCTGTCCCCTGCCTAAGGGGCCCTGCCAGCCGATGTCGGGCTGCACCCCTGCCAGGCTGTTGCAGCAGCGAGGGGGCATGGCTCTTGATGGGGGCAGCAGCTCCTGTCACAGTGTCGGGGAGCACAAGCCCCTTCCCAGCAGGGGCCACGCTAGAGTGGGCAGAGCTGTGGCGGACTGTGCGTGGCAGCACTGGAGCTTGGAGGAGGCCAGAGCCCCACCAGTCTGCGGCAGTTTTCCCTGCCCCACAGTGTGCCTATCCCCTCCCCCCCGCCGGAAAGGGGCTCACACTCCCTGACATCGTGGCAGGGGCTGCTGCCCCTGTCAAGAGCCCTGCCCCATCGCCACTGCACCATCCTGGCGGGGACGCAGCCAGACACTGGGTGGCAGGGCCCCTTAAGCGGTGGGCATCGAGGGAGGTTATTCCCCCTCCCTGTCCCCTGGCATCCAGTGGAGGGGGCAGGAGGTGGCTTATTCTGCTGCTTGCCCCAGGGAGCAAGTGGTGGCAGTAATTGTGGTGGGCAGAACTGGCTGCAGTCCCCTGGGGGCAGTGGGGATAGAGGTGGGGAATAATGCCCCTCCCTGCCACCTCTGCCTTGGGCCATGCCAGCCAGTGTCTAGCTGTGCCCATCCCTGCCACTGCAGCAGCGAGGGGGGAGCACCTGGCAGACCCAGGGAGGAGGAAATTAAACCCCTCTCTGACCAGTTCAGCCAAGGCTACTGCCCGGGCTGGCCACACTTCCACTGCTGGAGCAGCCAGCATGGAGAAGTGCAGGTCCATACTAGTAGGACAGGGGAGGGAAGCGGGGAATAAACTTTTTCCCTGCTCCCTTCCAGGGCCAGTGTCTGGCTAGACCCTTGCCTGTCCCTGCTCTGGCTGGGGAGCAGAGGTGCGGGGCCAGCCCTGCTCGGCTGGAGCAGAGAGTATGGTGGGATGCTGGGGGACTCTGGTTTAACTTAAATCAGCAAGGGGTCTGGGACAGACATTGCATAAACGGATTTGAGCTCAATCAGTTAAGTCTGATACTACATTCAACCAGGTTTATCTCAAACCAGTTTGGGCCATTTTGAAACTGGTTTATGTGCACTGAACGTCTGTTTTGTTACAGGTTTAAACTGGTTTCTGATCACTTAAACTGGTTTATGTATAATGTCTATCCCTAGCCTTCATGTCCAGTCCTTTCCTGAATCTTGTTAAGTTTTTGGCCTTTTCAAAGTTTCAGTTCTGAGCAAGGGGTTTATTAGAAATTTTCATAATAGATTCCTTATCCTAGTAATTTGGATCATG